TGATTTGAATTGCTAAATCCTCCGATTAAAGAGTTAGGATAAAAATTTCTAATTGAGTAGAAAATACATGAATTATTGATGTTGATTGATCCAACCCAATTGGGGGAATTTCAATACTTCACTATTCTACATTTTGATTTTAACCCCATTATTTCATCAATTGATATTCACATTTTAATTCAATAAATAAATTATTTTCGATCAATTCACTAGAACCCTGAATTATTGAACTTCCTGATTCATTCATCCATCTCCTTATGGATACGACACCCCTAAGCTGCACTACAACTGCCACATTATTCTTTGGGTGTAATAAAAAATCCACTAGACTCGCTGATCTAATTCTACAATCTCCAAAACCCATTGAAACGTGCTTCACTCATACCTTCTCCCCATCTTCTGGAATTGTCTATCTCCTATGGATCACCAAGAACACCTCGTTTTTGTACTCTTCTTGTGCTTGCAGTCTAAACTCACTCAATCTTCAGTAACTTCTGAAATATATTAAGAAAGCACCTTCCTCATTATATTTAGGAAGTAGGTGTTTTGGATTATTTGAATTCGATGTTTTTTCCAACTTGTGGTTGATTGATCTCAAGAATCAAATGTTTAATCACAATGTTTTGATGTATTCTTAAATCTTGGTACAATGTTATGAAGATGTAATATAATGATCAACCACTCCCAAAAACGTAATGGGTATTTATAATATGAGGTATTTGGGTAGTATAGAATAGATAGAACTCTTGAAAATCATGAACTAGGATTTCACATATAACAATGTCGATTGAGCACTAGGCGAGCAAGACGTGTGTCGTTCGAGTGAGAGTCAAGCGAAAATGATTCTGCTTTTTCCGTTCGAGCATCAGCTAGGCGACAGTCTAGCGTAAATCTGGTGACTCTTTTTCTTTATTCCATATTCGAGCCCAAAGACTTCTAATTTATCTATAAAATCCCCCAAAAGACTCATTGACTTTTACAACTCTTTTATAATAAGCTTTTTGTTTAAAAAGTTGTCAATACAACATAATCCCTAAAAATAACCAAATGGTAATGAATCTTACACGTAATCGATGTTGCAATGCAAAACTAAGAAATGATCACAGTGCCAACTATTAGATGGAAATACAAAAAGTATTTTTGGGTAGGCGTAGTTTTAAGTTTCGAACTTTTCTAGCGGGCATGGTGGTGAATGATTACATGGAACAATGGTTTGGTTGTGGACTAAGCAATTTCCGTAGGATTTGGGGATTGCAAGTGATGGAATGTGGCAAACTTGTGAAATTTTCTAAAACTTTTGGCATCAGTAGATTGTCAGTTTTGAATTCATTTCTTCTATATTTTAGAAGAAATAACATTACATTACTGATCAAGTCTTTCTAAATGATGAGCCATATCTGATATAGAAGGTGAACCAAGTTGTTTTGATTCATTTTCTTTATCAGGATGACCGAGTGAGGTTTTGAAATATTATGATTGAAATCAACTTCTTTTAAAGAAGATGTTGAAAATCTTGCAAATTGAAAAATATTATTCTTAGATCTATTATCAGATCTAGAAGAATAAGATCTTTGTAAAGTATTTTAAGAAGATGGTTTGTCAAATATTACTTTGACGTCTCCATCAGGAAATGAGATGATTTGTTCTCGAGTTTTTTGAATAGGAGCAGGAATCGGATTTTGAGCATTCTCGAAATTCCATTCTAGTCCTTTAGATTGAAGATTCCAAGGTATTCTCTTGAGAATCATAATATTTGAATGCAAAGGGTTGACTTCAACCAAAATACTTTCATCTTTGGGTGAAATCGAAGAGCACGAATATTAAGTGTTCATAAGTTCGTAATATATTTGATATATTAAAGCAAAAGCTTTTGAACGATCATCAACATCAAAATTTTTATTTTGAATATGAAGATTTAGAGCATTAAGAATAACTCCATCTTTAAGGCTAATTGAAAATTTTGGATAACAATTTTAAAATAAAAGACTACTCTCAACATTAGACTCAAGCATGAAAAGTAATGAATGTTCAAACCTTAAAAGTCTTTTATTTCTCAAGGTTGGAAGAACATAAATATCTAGACCAAGTCTAAATAGTGGTTTTCCTGTAATTTGAACAAGACCAACATGAAGATATTTGAATTTCTTCCAATGAGCTTAACTAACTTCTTTTGAAAATAAATTTATCGAAACAATTTGATTTTTAATAGCAATAGTTTGCTCACAAGTTTTGATAACATAATCTTGAGTAAAATCAAACATTCTTATTCATAGATAGATAGAACTGGAATAGTCCAATTTTGAAGTTTTTGCTCAATTTGAGCAATTTGAAGTTCATGAGAATTAAATGAGTCTACTGATGAAGATGCAAATGATGCATGAGCTTGATCAATTTCTTCTTTATCATGATAAATGTTTGAAAAAATTTCAGTTCTATTTCTAGAACTATCAGATCTCCTAAACCAATTTAAAATTAAAGATATAATTGAATAAAATGAGGAAATAGTAACTTATTGTAGACACAATGCTAAGGGAGAGACCAGTGATATGCAAAGCCTACATGGGACCACCTAACGTCTTCTCCGACAATACGACTGACCAAACCTATCGGTAAACATCCATGCTCACACCAAGTTTTCCTTTGACACAATACCATTATTCCTATGAATGAGATTAAATTCGTTATGTGAAGTATAACTATAAAAAGAGGAAGAAGGCGAGTTACAAGAAAAATTCCCCCCGGGAAGAGTTTGAGGCACTATCTCCCTTCAACCCTTAGAGAAAAATGCGGCATGATGAAACGATCGAATCTCATTTCAATTATTTTGACTATCAAGATACTTGGTATCATGTTTTTTACTTCAGACCGGTGACTCATTCTTGGTTTATTCTTTTCCACCAAGCATGTCCTTCAAATTTTCCAAAATGGTTTCGAACTTGGTTCGAATGCTTTGGAATTGATGATATTACTCAGTCTTACTCGTCAAGGATTCGAACTATTCAAAAAAGAGGCAAAAGCGTTTTTAAAGCCTCAAGAAAATGTTTTGTTCCAATTTGCGTGTCACTTCAAGACTTCATGGATATTTTGTTGGGATTTCAATCTTGTTCAAAATACAAACTCTGAATATAGTGTTAAGATTGAAGATCGAAAGGTGGTCCAAATTTTATGAAACAAATTGTCACCCAAAATTTGCTGCTTCACGGATTCAAGAATAAAAGAATATTGCCAAAATTCTAAAAGAAAAAACAAGAAAAAAAGCTGGTTGTCTTACAAAAAAATCAAGATTATTAGCTATGTTATCTTAACGCAAGACGTCGGAGGAGTTATCTATTGTTTCAGAAAAGATAGCTTCTTTAGCAGAATCTACTTCAAAGAAATTAAATTCTAGTTCATCTCAAAAATCAGCTTCAGAAAGTGAGTATCCTCAAAGTAATGAAGAAAGATACTTGGGTATAGATATTGGTGAATTAATAAATCAAGAATCTCAAAAGGATTTAAAATGACTATATGGACTCAATTATTTGGATGAATTCAGACAATACAAGGTTCATGTTTCAAGAGGGAAATTATTTCAATTATGTTTTCCATCTCAAAAGTTGTTTCTACTAGCTTTCCCATCATTCAAAGTAAAAAACAAAATGAATAATGTCAATAAACTTTAATAAAGCAAGCTTTAATAAAGGAGATTTCATCTACTTTATGAAAAGCCCCTCAACAGCCGTCGGATATCATTTCAAGTTTGGAAAATGTCATTTTGAAGATTGTTGAAAATTTTTCAAAAGAATTTATGAAGATTTCAAGTCCGAAACTTTAAGTATAAATCAAGCTCAAGACAGAAGTTGATATGATCCGGGGTGCGCCACAATTTATCAAGATTTTGATTGTCTTTGGAGAGAGAGTAGAGCCAAGTTCGAGACTTCAAAGAGTTGATAAAACTGGTTATTTCACTACAACAAAAATAGCCTACGGCAACGTTCAAAAAACGGCAACATTTAAAAAACGTTGCCGTAGGGGTCCTACGGCAACGTTTTTTTAAACGTTGACGTAGACCCCCTACGGCAACGTTTAAAAAAATGTTGCCGTATGGGGTCTACGGCAACGTTTTTTAAACGTTGCCGTAGGGATTTTTTTTTTTATACAGCAATTTACTCAAATTGATTGACAAAATTGAAAATGAATCCTTATGAACAAATTTTGAAATTGCATAAAAATTGATAATTTTATTACAAATTTTTGAATCCATACACTTGAATATTAGAATGTGATACAAAAACACCTAAATAAAAATGAGTTTCAAAATGGAAATACATCAATTGATAGTAAGCACTTCCATCCAGTGTGATAATCACCCAACAAATAAATTTACTCTAAGCAACCCTATCATGCTAAAATAGCCCAAGACTTCAAAATATTACTTCCACCACTATTAGTAGAATCTTCATCTGTAGCAGTATACTGTACAAGGCCTTCATTCTCCTGCTTTAGAATTTGAATTATTGTAGATTTCTCCTTAAGTGCCTGCAAAAAATAGAGGACACCATAAACATTCCAAACTTGTAAAACATTCCATGAGAAACACGAATACTCCAACCTAACATTAACACCAATTTCAATCTCCCATTACTATAGTATGCTTCCCTATCATTTTATATACATTAGGGTGTACATGTCTGAGTTACTTATTGCACCTAAGCAACAACCCAATGGGATGCCACATTTAACATCCAAAGTCCCAATAGTACAGCAACATTTTATATTTCGAGTATTTTACACAACTATCATACCAGATAATGCGAAGGCACAAACAAGACTAGACAATAATATTCATAATATAGCATGTCCATGCAGCAAAGTCAAAATAGTAAGCAAGTAAAATGAACAAAACATCCGTATGAATTATTTCAGTACTATGGTAGTTTATACAAATCTGTGCAAATTCTGCAAAAAAATAATTTCAGATCATGCAATTGAGAGTGTACCATTTGTAATAAAGTTAATTTCTCATACTTTATCATATGGAATCAGTTCTTATTGTCTGCCCTTCATAAATAAAATCTGAATGCTAAATAAAGAAAAGAAGTATACATACTTGATGCTCAAAAGAAGAACTGTCAAAAGGAACTGCCAGCCTTTGCTTCAGATATTTGAGTCTTGCTTCCTATTTCACTCAAGAATCAACAAGAAGTATAGTTAAACACACACACACACACACACACATATATATATATATATACATATATGTATATGTGTATGTTTGTATACATATATGAACATGTAAACTAGAATGACAGGAAGCAAGTCTTTTTGGAGGCGAATAAATTAGAAAATAAAACAACATTTCTTGATAATAAATAACATAGAAAATACTTGTATTCTAGACAATTCACATTATATCCCATAGCCTCAATGATTAGATTATCCTTTGTAGACGGCCCCTCTAGCATATATCTACATATTTCATTGCTACAAGTAGAAGAATTAAATTGAGCATGTAAAATGTTTGTTGACTATCATTTCTATGAAAATTACATGCATTGTCAAATGACTTAAAGTACAGGACATTTCTTAATTTGTGAAAACAGAATCAATAGGCAAATTGCTGAATTCATATGATACAATCACATGCAACAAAGACTTGGTCCATCTCTGGAAACTTATGTACAGAATTAAAAAGCTACACAAGTAGAGAAATTGCAAGAAGAAAGTCAGTGCTATTACTCTGCCCCTCGCCTAGGGGAGAATCATTAGCTAATGGGGTAGTATGCCACATCCATCCCCGACCTCCATAACAGGGGTAAGGGTTGGGGCATACACCTAGGACATGGATTCTATACGAACCAATGGATCGCGACCGTTGCTACAAACACAAGTACAACACAGACCGAAAATATTCAAGGTAACATATGATCAAGCTATAAGGTAAAAGCAGTGGGCAACCAGTTCATATTCCTATGTTATCTAGGAGTCCACAAGTTAGGTAAAATAAGCAAAAATCACTTAAACTATGTTTACACATTTAAGACAGCCAAGATCTGTGTAATGAATCACTGACTCTTATCAAGGAAAAAAACATGAATTAAATGTAAAAATCCTACCACCTAGAATCATCAATAACTTCACTAGATCATACCTGTAAGGGGTTGAGCGAAGGCGGAGAAATCTTCCCATTTGGTCCATTTTGAGTGCCCGATACAAATGGCAAAAGACGTCCAATAACTGACCCAGATCCAAGGACAATATTTGCTGAAAACAGAAATATGAAACTATTGATCCTTATCAATTATAAAAAAATCATTATTTGAAAACATAATAACAGGGCAATAGCTGTTCAGTAAACGACCCAGGCCGAAGACAATATTTGTTGAAAGAAAAAGATGATATTATTGATCCTTATCAGAAATTGAGGAAATTATTGATCCTCACTATATATTCATTATTTAAAAAATAATAACTACGATAGAAACTATTTAAATTCTTTTGTAGACTATATACACATAAATTGCATAAGAAGGTTTTGCCATAAAGCACTTCATGATTAATATTTTTTGACAGAAGAACATTTAAATCAAGCTCACCTGCCTTCTTCTCATGGAAAATGCTTTGAATAAATGCAGAGGTCAACATAAGTAGAAATAGCTTGCAAAAGAAATTCAGGGTGAAAAGTAAAATTTTTTTTTCTTAACCCAAAATAAGTAGAAGTGAAATAAACAGTATCCAATTGATTGAAGAACAATAGGGTTGAATTAATGCCAACATCCATTTTTGTTGTAGACAAATAGATGGAAACAATAGAAGAAAAGCAATGACACAGGAAAAATGAGATAATAATTAAACTTGCACAGCATGTTTGGTATACTATATCGACGATTAGATAGAATATCTGATATCGCTTGCCTACCTTCTTTAATGATCCATTCTCATCCCCTCAGCAATTCACATATCAATTTGATTAGCATTCCAATTCAACAATGCCCAAATTTCAACAATACCTAATTTCAATTCCATAAGATTAATTAGCATCGGACAGAGACTACTGACCACACAATAATTTCAATTCAAGTTCAACAACACCCAAATTTCAACATGAATTTTTTAACATGCTCAAAGCCTCAAACATCAAAAAGGGTATGAAATCAAATGCAGACCCAGCTCAAACATAAAAAAGGGTATTAAATTATACCTGACTTCTCGGCGCAACAGAGGCGGAGGTGCACAACACCTGGAGTGGAGGAGAACGGAGGCTGGATAAAATGTGCAGCAGCAGCAGCCAAAATTGAAAAGAGGGGATTCGGCAATGGTCACCCAGGGCATGACCAAAACTCGCCAATAACGCACCGTGTTGAACCTCCAGCCCAACCCCACAACCGAAACTCACTCATTCTCAAGCAAGGGCCGCAACTAACTGATACACCATAAAGCCCTAATACCAATCACAAACCAATGTCAGGGCCAAAGAACGATTCAAACCGGAACATACCACAAACACAAAACTAAACAACACAACCTAAACTACACAAAGCAGACACGAACAAACAACACAAATGACAAAAAAAAAACCACAACAACACGAAAACCCGCCTGCAAGAGGATTGCCAGCTCTCCCCCCTCCGGCAACTGCAGCACGAAACCCATCAAACCAAGGACCCAGCTCGTGTATAGATTCACGACCCCCACAGTGGTGG